TTTCGAGATTCCTCGAAAAATAGAGTTCTCTATCTGCGAATCATATTTTGCCAAGTTAAGTCTGCTGTGATTGGTTGTTGAATCAGCCCTGTACATATTTTCTCACGGCCTGCTCTCACCACATCACTTATTCACTTTATCTGTTATCATGATGAAATTCGTCACCAGCTTACAATAATTAGTGGATACCTGAGAAACACTGGAGCCAATTCTGTTCACATGTTTTAGTACTTTTCAGCTAGAATCCTACATATTAGCAGTGGTTCACTAATCACTAAGTGATTTTATTCTAACCCAACTGATGTCTTCATATCGTCCTTTCGTCAAAATTTAAAAAATCTTCGAAGTAATCTTCAACTTGATCATGGTCTAACAGTGATGAATGCCTTCAATAAAGGTTAAAGAGCTACCTTCAGTTAAGACTTTCATAATTAAGAAAACTTAAAACTCATCACACAGCATAGTTAGCTACCTATTTAAACCCTGAAGTTTCAAATCAGATCCGACCCGTTCATCAGGAATTAGCCAATCTGCTCTAATAAGACAGATTTACACTGCTTACACTACAGGGAACATAAATTAATTTTAATTTTATTCATTTACGTTCCCAGTGGAACATTGGGCTTCAAGCCTCTAGCTTAAAGTTTCCGTAGCAGTGGTGTTTATTTTTATGGGATGGGGTTGCTGGCCTCATGCCTAACCTTCCCTTTTTAGCAGTCTTATTACCGGCTTAGCGAGGTTTAGGAGTGCGTTGGCGGCCGGGGATCGAACCCTGGACTACATGCGTGGTCGGCGAGCATTTTACCGCTGTACCGGTGACGCACATAGAGCACATACTTGTACGTAACTTCCGAAAATATATTCCTAAGACATAAAGTATTATTGAAGTGATACATCAACGGAAAGGTTACAGTGGTAAGGTGGGTACTAAAAGTCATAATTACCCTTAATCTCTGACTTTTTTAATCACTCGCTCTCTTGTCAGCATGGTACTATGTTGTCAAGATCATAAGCTCCACCTGTATATATATATATATATGCTCCTTTTTCATTTTGAGTGCAACATAAGAGTTCCAAACTTCTGAAATTTCAACGGCACCATTGTTTTTCATGAGGTGAAAATGTTAACCTCCTGCTCAACCTTCATCTCTTTACTGGGTCTACTACAAACTGGTAAACTGGGCAAGGTTTAGGAGTGAGTTAGTGGGAAATCGAATCCGGACCATGTCGTAGTTGGTAAGCATTCTACCATTGAGCGAGTTCCTTAGAGATTAGAACTGAGTATCACTTCGACTAACTTCTTACCTTTTCTCCAAGTTAAATGTTTATGAAACACCTTATAATGAATGAGTCAACAAAGCAACAAATATGACTAGAAAAAAGGGTTGCTCTTAAAACTGAGTCAAAAAACAAATCTCAAATGAAACTTTTGTTTACATTCTAAATGTGTATGAGACTTCATTGCCAAGCCTGAAAAAAACAAAAAAAATAAACAAACAGCATGCTTCATTTGCTCCCCAATAATGTTATACGTGATGCACTAATAAATATGTTTTACATTTGTAATGACACTACTTATATTAAATACAAGTAGTACACCTCTGTTAAACGTATTTCAGTTTTGCTACGGAGAAAAAAAATTAATAAATCAAGTATTTTATTAAAAAAAAAGTGATCCTAACAAAAACAATTATCAGCTCCGGTGTATGCCGCCAATAGTAAAAAAATGTAGACCACCACACACTGACCTTATTCACCTTAAAATTCACTGGGTCATACATGAAATTATTGTTCGCTTAGTGACTGATACATTAGTCTTGTCTATTGATTCACTTAAGTTTTTATTTTAAATTAGTTAGGGAAGGGAGTATGGTAAATATCTACCGACTGAAATTTAAGTTATGCGATAAACTGCAGTCTTAGGGTAAGTATCGAGGATAAAAATAAGAGATCAGATAACATTGAAAGAAATTATCAGGTTAACATTGTCAAGTGAATCAATCACTGTTCCAGAGATGCATATAATTTGTACGACATTAGCACACACACCCCCAGAAATATAAACAATAATTCAATCCAGTTTGAAACATTCTTAACATTCAGAACCCTGTCAATTACATTTACAGTTTTTATGCCTAAATAATACTAAAAACATCTACAATAAAGTGAACACAGGAGTAAGATAAGACCGCCTACTATCGCCGATAATATTCCTAACTGTGGTGGACTGAATTATGCGGAACGCTGTGAGTGAGAAGAGAGAATACAGGAATACGTTGAACCGCTAAGAAGACCTGGAATTTGCCGATGATTAACGTCTAGTTTTACAGATTCGAAGATTTTGCGACGAAAACAAATAAAATGGCAGGAGAAGTAGTAAAGACAGGACTTCAAGTGGACATAGAGAAAACAGAGGTGATACAGATAATCACCCAACAACAATAAGCACCAATCGCTAACAACGAAAGAAATTCGAAAGAGGTTACTTCCTTTACTTATCTAGACAGTACCGTTTCAACTACAGGCGGCACGGATGATGTAAAAAACAGAATCGGAAAGGCAAGTCAGACCTTCATCAGTCTAAAATCACTTTGGAAACCTTCTCCACTCCACAACATAAACAAAAAATTATGATTTCCAAACACTAATATTAGGTCAGTTCTTCTAAACAGGTCAGAAACTTGACGCACACGTCATGAAAAGCATTTCTAACTGGTTACTGCAGACTCTTATCAATAACTGCCTTAACTGACTCCATACTACAGATTAAAAGGCCAGTTATAAAGAATTAGCAGCAAGAAACTCTGGAGACAAACCAACCGAAGAACTTATTGCTTAGTAAATATTTCGAAGAAAATGGAGGTGGATCGGACACAGGCTGTGAGGAGACCTCGAATGACACCGTGCACCAGACCATCGCTAGAGTGGAGCCCGAATGGGAAACGACGAGTGGAGCATTCAAGGGCGACATGAGGTAAATCGTGGGAGGAAGAGATGAGATGCGATGGGTAATATTGAGACCAGCTAGAGAAGATCCTGGGGAACAGGATAAAGTGCAGTTGAGCCGTTTAAGCCCTATGTTCCACTAGGCAACAAAAAGCACGATAATAATAATACTGAAAACTTATGACTGAGTTTTGCAACAAATTGATTTTCATTTATACAAACAAAAACAACCATTCACTGCGACGATTTCATGCACTGACGCCATCTCTACTATACTTTCAAGAGACTAGCAGTATCGAAACCCTTAAGAGGAGATTTGTAACAATTGTCTAAACCAATAAACCTGGTGTCTCTGAAGTGATATCCACTTCTAAAAGAAGATCACCGGCCTGTTGAAACAAGTGATGCTGGAAAATTCAGGATACTTCCCTCCTGATTTCATAGAGAATATTTGACTTTGCCTAGAGGACTGCATATGATTCTAACAATTTTGAGTTTTCTTAACTATATGGTTTAAACTTGAAGCTATTAGTTCTATACACAGAAATTTGTCAGAAAAAGTGATAACAAAATAACTTCACACGAAGTTAACTAGTTCTTCATTCAAAACAAGAATAATCAAAGTAAATGACTGTTTTCAATGAATTCTTCTTCAGGCTCTACAATTCTACATCCATTAATTTTAGCATACAAAAGCCAGCTAAAGGCAAATTAGAATTACTGCAGAAATGGAATTGCACTAAAAGTACAAAATGGACGAATAGTCAGTTAGTTTTGGTTACCATTTAAAACATGTATGGAATAAAATGAAATAATTCAGTGGTTTGCGTTTGCATATGTATATATATAGTTGATGTATAATCAAATCATTTTTCGAGTTTTCAGGTTGAACACTATCAGTCACCAAAGTTTTCAGATATTATTAAGCTATTACCGACCTACCGACTGAGTTTCAAAACAGAACCCTCCATAGAAGTGCGGCACTTTGAGTTGTTACACTCCACATAACACGCAAAGGTACGGAAAAAAGAGGGGGAAAAAGAGATTCAAAAGACCTATAAGAAAAATAAATGTGAAGAAGAAAGAATAACAACAACGGAAAGTGAGAATTGAATGGATCTCGGAGATTACAAAGAGTGAATGCATCTGGGTCACTGAGAACCCTTTTGAGCCATATTATTAGACATCTCGAGACCTCCAACCAAGCGGCCTACACCTTCTAATGCCTGGCTAAAACTAATAGTCAAAGACTTCATGGACTTATGTCAGGCTTTGCTTGGACGAATCCCAACTCGTTTCCAACCTAATCTTATGTCACTTGGTGGCTCAGCATGTGCAACAGCTATTCTAGCCATGAAACTATCATTATTGTATTTATTATTCCAAGTCCAATTGGCTTTGCCACGTAGTTTAAAGAAAAAACATGAGAGGTAGCCAGTGATAAATACAGCAGTACGCATAAAAATATTACGTACATAATGACAAATCATCAAAACATTCATCAGAGTGTTTCGATTGCTTTGAGAATTTTTTCCTCAACTGTCATTATCACAACTAATCTCAAACAATCGTAAGTCATACTCATAACATAGCTAGATTTATCTTTAGAAATTAATTCACAATAGGTAAGTTAGGTAAAGCACAATTAATACACAATTGTAAAATATTCCAAGACTAAGTACAACTGACTGTATGTTGAAGGAAACAAACAAGACTTTCACTGAGCATTCCCACTGTTCATCGAAATAGTTAACTAAAGATATTTGACACTTTACTGATCAGCAAAATCATGTCAATAATGAAACACACTACAATATCGAAAAATGGATATAATAGGCGAAAATGTGTTTACAATATGCTGGATTAAACAACATATGCTAATACTTCACCTTCAGCTGTGTGCGAAATTTCTAGGAAAGAAATTCCTTATGATATATGACTTAGAAACCAACTACTTATCATCAAATACTATCACTGTTCATTATATTTAATAATATTAGCAAGTGTAGGCCAAAATGCCAATATACTGACAATCAAATGAAACAAGTATTTACCTGTTGCAAGTGAATGTACAAATTCTTGAAGCTTCCATATTTAACAACATAATTCCTCACGGAGACGAGAATAATGCATGGGGAATCATCTTGTACATATTTCGGACTTGTTTTCATATTTTGGGAGTCAGAACTGTGAGCATACATCAGACGAAAGTAAAATTCAAGAAATTCGGGAAGAAGTCGGACAGTTAAGCACAGACTAGGACCAGAGCAACGAATCAGCTGAACTACTTCATTCCAAGCCATTGAATTCACAAGTCCATCGCCAACAGCAACAAGGTAATCACCCGGTAGGAAACAATTTGAGGTATTCTGCCTATCACATTCTGTTAGAAGAACCTAAAAACAGATTAAACACATGATTATGAAATTTGTACGAACTACAAGACAACACATACTTCATCTTTATTGGATAATCATCGCTGTTTTCTTACAAAAGAGGCGAACCGGACAAACTGACAGAAAATGAAATTATACATAAAAATGTGGGTATAAATGGTTTGAAGTGAAGGCAAACAACGGTTTTTTTGCTTATCTAAGTTATTTGTCCGTCATTCTTACTATCTTTGGCTACAATCTCCCTCAAATCTTTCCCCTTGTCATCTGCGAAACTCCGTGGTGGGAAATTATTACAGTATTACTTTTAGGTGAACATTTACAGCCAATGAGTCCAAATTATAAACACTGAAACACAAAAACTTTACCTAATGACAGCATAAACGATAGTAAGAAGGCAACTAGAGATACTCATTTTTAAGATCTACATAAGTGCGAAACATCCAGAATATAAATTACACCTGCTCTAGCTGCCACTAGCAAAAGCAATCATGAGTAAACACCAAAAAGTAAATCAATAGATTTAATCTTGTTCACAACACTTACATCAGTACGATCTTCCAGAATTATTCCATCGTCAAAAAGACACAAACGGTGGATCAATAATCCACGACGAAGCAAAATCCCATAGCTAGATTGGCCATTCTTCTTCAAGCTTATGATGAACTTTGGTGAATAAACAGGATTAAACTTGATTTCATCATGTGAATTATCTATGTCTAAATGATTGGAGGATTGATGGAGATTTTTGGAGTGAAATGGAGCATTGCTCTAAGTTCAGACGAGTCATTGAAGGCCGTGGGTCCCTGAACTTCAGACTTATTTGGTCGTTTATACGGCGTACTCGATGAAATGGAATGTTTACCTAAATTATGAAATTTACATTATTTCCATACCAAATATAGCTTGGTGAAGTTTGGCAACTTTCTCTGCAGAAATACTCTTAGAATGTGAATTATGAACCAGCTTATCTCCACCATGCATGCTAGACAAAATAGATCTCCAGTACTAACAGTTTTCTACGGCTTTTACCAATTGCCGCAACAACCGCAAACAAAGATTCAAAGCATGCGCTTCTAAATAACCTAGCTGTTGGCTATAAATGCCGTACATGAACGGACGTAGATGCTTTGCAGCCCTTCCAACATCCACTATCTTTTTCACGAGCCATTACAAACTAATTTGATTTCTTTATGCTCGCTTCTTTATCCTTAGGTAAAGGTTCCTGATCTTCGGTAAATTTCTGTGTAGTTCATCCCACCACTCAACTGTCGTAGCTTTGGTTGACTCCAAAAAGTGTAGTGCTGGGATCAATTAGATGTTGTTTGTAGTATTCGGTGTGTTAAGGCTGTTACTACTTTGAATGGAGTTGATCCCTTCACCAGTTAGTCCTCCGGTATCGTCGTCAAAAGGAAAGATAATAATAAAAATGAACTGTCGTGAAGATTTGGCAGAATAGTTCTAAAATATTTGGGTGCAGAGTAAGAAGTAGACATTTGTAAAGAAATTATATTTTTAAAATCTCAGCAATATTGAAATGATTAATTCCAACGTGGAGATAATAATAATAGATATAATTAGTGTAGGTTATCCAGACTAAAAGACAGAGAAAGAAATAAAGAAAACGTAAAACAGACAGCTGACTAAATATGAAGTTGATATATATATATATATATATACAATATCAGTAATGATAATAATTGTAGTAGTTAGAGTTGTGAGGAAAGTAAGACGGAAGAGAATCTAAAGAAGTAAAACGACGAACTACCCCTGAGTGGTGTGTAGGATTTTGAGGGGACAGGCCATTGGGACGCAATCCTTGTGTCACCGCATGACTGTCCAGTCTTCGCTTAAAAGTGTCTTCAGATGGTACATAGCTACTTCTGCAGATAGGGAGTTTCAGGGATGGAAAACCCGCAGTGAGAAAAAGTGGGAGCCCACCCAGGTCCAAGCTTTCTAGTGAGCTATCCTTCTGGGATTTCCACGGCGAATCCTATACCTACTCAATGACAGAACGCCTTTGTGTAAGTGATTCTCGTCATCTGTTACCTTGTAGATGGTAGTCAAATCCCCTAAGCCTACGGCAGCTAATTGTGAATAGGCCTAATTTCTTTAGCCTTTCATCATACGGTTTATTTTGGAGACCAATCACTCCCTTTGTCGCCCGTCTTCGGACTCTTCCCAAGAGGTTTGCGTATCTTCTAAGCGGTGGGGAGTGCAGTGACATCATGCATTTCAAGGTGTGATCTGACGTGTGTTTTGTAAAACCTTAGAGCTCAGAAATGAGCCCACCTAACTGTCTACGTGTATAGTGTATGACCGCACATGCCCTTGCTACACCCCCCGTGTAATTCACGCCTGAGTCCATTTTTTGCGCTTGAACTAGGGCTAAGTCACGTTCAAACGTTGTGCAGGATGAGCTTACGTTCCACAGAGTGTAACTTGCATTCTGAAACCTACAGGTCCGTAATTTCATTACTTTTCATTTTTTCGGGTTGAAAGTCATACCTCTGACCACCACCCAGTCTTCCAAAAGCTTTATATCTGACTGCAGCCTATCTGAGTCTTCCGAACACTTTATAACCCTCCATGTTTTTACGCCGTCAGCGCATAGAAGAGTCAGGCAGCTTCGACGGCATGGTGGGTCATTGATAAAAATTGAAAACATCAGTCGTCCGACGATAGGACCCTGTGACACTTCTAATGACGCGCCGTGTCGAGATGATTGGACTGATTGACTTTGGTGCAAAATTTCAACCATGACAGAAGTGGCCTACCTATACCTGCCAGACTTACAGTGTGCAAGAGAAGGTCATGGTTAACTGTGTTAAATGCCTTCTTAAAGTCTAGGAAGACCACATGGACTGGAACATTCATATCCCGGCATGATGTCTAATCGTCCTAAGCTGATAGGAGATTCGCTGCACAGGATCTACCTTCCCTGAAAATATGTTGGGCTTCATGAAGTATATTAGTCCTATCTAGGTGATCCCTGATGTGATCATCAATAATACTTTACAGTACTTTTGATACCATTGGGAGTGGCACTACTGGTCTATAACTAGTGGTATTTTGCCTATCCCCCCCTTGAAGATCGGAGAAGGGGTGGCCTTTTCCACTCCCTTGACAGTTTCCCTGAATCCATCGATTGTTGAAACAAGTCACATAGGGGCCTATACAGAGCTTCGGTTCACTGTCTCAGAACAGATGGCCTGATGTCGTCACAACCTGGGGACATTTCAGAGTCTTTGTAGCTTCCCTAGTACTATCACCAGGTTTATCTAGGGAGTAGCCACCAGTGAAATATCGGTGCCGTCGTTTTGGTCCGTACGGTAATACCCACACTGCTGTTTAACTGTTTGGCGAAGCCTAAACTGAATGTTTACACCATCTTCAGACTAGTGAAGTATTGACTATTTCTACCTACTGAGTCAATGACCCCAGGTTGGCTGGTTTCTTTTCCGACATGAATTGATACAAGCTATTGGGTTTGCTAATGGAAGTGAACATTGAACGTTGGTTCATTGGCCTTGGTCGCCATTGGTGGGCAACTCGAAGGCGCGAATGGTTCGATGGTCTACAAGTTCGACGAAGACGAACAAAAAGGAGTAAAAGTACATAATAATTCTGTATAAAACTTTTGTTTATGGACTTGTATTATTCTCCGCTTTAATTGCCAATCAATATAACTTCCTTCTTACGATACTAGTGTTTTGGAGTTAAAGTCGTAGAAAGTACATAGTATTTATTGGTGCGGAGCGTCTCCGTAACAACAGAACTTAGGGATAAGTTCCTTGTCAGGGGGTTTGCTAGGAATTTTTTGGCAAGGTTAGACTGAAATGACCTCCTCTCACTTCTGACTCCCGCATTGCACTGGTTCCTGAGTTCCAGGTATTCGTCGTGATCAGTCTGACTATAGGATACTCTCCACGTAAACCAAGTCTTACACTCTGCTTGTACAATATGTCGCCCACCCATTTTCAGCCATGATTACATTTTTGGGCCGTGTTGAAACTAAAGGGATGGTGTCAGCCACGTCTCGTAAACCGTTAATGCCCAGCTCTCGCTGCACTCGGGCTCACGCTGTTCCATGAAGTTTCTCAGAAACGCTTAGTAATAACGGACGAAAAAACCAAAACACCGATTGGCCACTCGAGAATTCTTTGTTGTAACACCAACATATAAACACTGTTACAACTAAGGTCTGTGAACAAATATTACAATAATAAATCACAATATTACTTCTGACGGTTTTCTGCTGACTTCTTTCTGAACAGCGACCGATGAGACGATAACTGTCGTATTGATGCCTCCGCGAAAATTGGGGAAGTTGGTTTTGAGCAAATAACCATGAATTGATCGTTCAATCTTCAACTCCATTGACACTCCAACCCTTTTTTCCATCACGACCAATACACGTTGACTTGGATGCCATTGCGAGAACCTGGGTCACACGGACAGAGCTGAAATGGAAAACAAACAGAAAAGCCAACACACCACAAGCATACTCACAGCACAATCTCACACATCAATGACGACCTGCGCCTCCAGACAGAGACCTCCTCTTGACATCTTGCAACACAATCGCCACTTACTAGAATGACTCTTGCAGAATGCAACGTGACCATAGCAGCACCTCATGATACTCTACGCACATCGTCTTATCTACTCACTACCAATTACCACTGCAATCGCTTGTCACTCATTCTGCATCAGTTCTAGTAATGGTGACGTATGCGAGCCTCAGTCTTTTACACTCTTTCTCCTCGGCGTGTCGGACCGCAGCTAACAATTATCTCCGTATGCATTTCATTCTCAGCAATAGTCTCCCCGGCGTATACGACCCATCTGCTATCTCTAACATCAATCAATTCATTCACGGATGTAGAAGAATAGAAACAGTTCAGAAGTAATCATGACGAACAATTTGACAAAATTACGCAATAACAACAAGGTACGAAAACAACAAGTAAACACAGTGAATCCAAAAACACCAATTGATATGACACACCACATATATACACATAGTGCACGTGACCTTGCAGATCATGTCCTGATTGAATTCCTTTGAAGAATCGCACGACCTATACCAGTACGCCTGCAACCCTTCTCAGGTTGACGATTGTAAGTCGTGGAATGTCCGGACACAAACAAGATTAACCAACAATTACATCAATTGGAACTCACACAACTATTTAACACAAACATATGTGCAATCAACACATCAAATGTTGTGGATTCCGGCATGACAAACTACACTTGAAGAACTGTAGGACTTACACCAGTACGCCTACATTCCTTCTCAGGTTGATAATCCAAGTGGAAGTCGTCCGGACACAAACAGAATTACCAACAGCTAGATGACAGATGATATCAATTCAGTATATACAATATGAACATATGTACAAGATCATACACCAAGCACATTGGACTGCTCATTGATGCGCTACCCTTTGAAGAACTGTAGGACTTACAGCAGTACGCCTACAACCCTTCTCAGGTTGACGCCCTAGGTTGGAAAATCGTTGCAGAGTTCATTTGCTGACTTCCTTCTATCAGCTATATCCTCAAATCTGAACGGCAACACGCCCATGTCATTGTATCGTAGAATATAGATGACGAACAAACTCACGATATATCTCATCAACCAAGTGCAGAAACAGAGTAATTTACACCAAAGATAATAGCATTCAAATAGTAACTTGAAACTAGAAATGCCTTTATTCATGCAAGTCAATTTAACAATTACTCTCTCGTTTACACTTGGCTTATTCTCACTAAACTGAGCAATATCTTTCGTCTTTTCAAACGCACCAATACTATCATAGTCATTGCAAAAGATACTTGAGTTGATGGGCATCTGTTTCATTGTGGATGAAAACACCAACGATGACTGAGTGACACAAGGTGATGAAGTTAGCGGTGGATCAGAAGCTGTTCTTTTTCGGCTTTCAGATAGTTGTCCAACTGCAAGATTACCACCACTGCTGTCTTTCACTACTAGTTCGGGTTTAGCACTATCATCTGATGATAGGTGGGCTACACGCTGATCAATTACACTGACTGTCTCACAAGTATGCACA